CTAAATGTTATTATAAAATGTTTGCATTGGTTATCATCAAAGGGTTGAGTTCTAAATATGTTATTGTGATATGCTTATACTGGTCATCTTCAAAATGTAAAATTTTCTGTGGAAAAAACAAGGTGTTATTAAAAAAAATCCTTTCGGTATGAAGCTATATTACAGAACATAAGGTTTCATATAATTGTAATAAATATTATTGATACGTTTCTGGTGTACAAAATGTATTCATGTTTTCTGACTATACAGGTCTTCCAACATATTGTTTATGGCAATAACCTCCTTTTGATCCAGTTATTCACCCTTCTCTTTTGCTACTCATGATAACAGGTACATTTATAGGCATACTTAGATGGCATCCTATCAGAAGGTTATAAGTAGGAGTTTTCTGTTTTTTATGTGTTTTTGGAAGGGACCATGTTTAACAATGGCTATTTTATATCAAGATGGACATGTAAGTCTGTTAGAAAGATAATGTTATCATGATTGTCATGCTAAAATATTATTATAATTATTATATGTGGCTCCTCATCCAAAGTTTTTTCGTTTAATATTCTACAGGAAGTCAACTACTAGAACAACCATGACTGATAAAAATAATAGTACTCTAACTATATTTTAGATTCCAAAATGCTTGCTATCCAGATAAAACTGTAATAGTTAAGCTCATTGCTCCTACTGCACTAATGTCACTGATCTTCTCTTCTGGGTGTTTAACAACTAAACTTTGGAGACCAAAACTAGAAAGGTAACTGTGCTAAGAGGACTGCCAATATTTTTGCCCTAGCCCCTCAAGATCAACAAAGAATCCAGGACATGAGGGAACCTTTTCTATGGGATCCTACATCTTTGGTAAGTCACCCAACCTCCTGAGCAGGGAGATTGCTGGACACCAGAGGACAAGTATACCATGTCCCAAATGAGGGTCACAAAGAGGGGAAAATCTCCCGTGATTTCACTGAAAGCAACATGGTCAAGCAAGGCCTTGACCCATGCTGATGGCTGATGCTGACAGAGGAGCTGAGAGGCTCTATGCATGGTTGCAAAATAATGACTTAACTGACCTTGATAGATAGAAAGATGTTCATATTGATTGACACAAGTCTCACTTTAGCTTGATCTTAAACAACCAGCAGAAAAGAATAACCAAAAGAGTTTTAAATAATGCCATAATAATAAAACTAGGTATAAAAAGAGGCTCCAAGAATCAACATAGTGAAAATGGACATACTACCAAATCTGCTAGACAAATTCAATGCAATGCCAATTGAAATTCCAACACTATATTTCACAGAACTAGAAAAAAGAATCCAAAAATTCATTTGGAACCATAAGAGACCTAGAATAGCAAAAGCCATTCTAGGCAACAGACACATGTCAGTGGGTATAACAATTCCCAATTTGAAACTATACTACAAAGCCACTGTGATAAAAACAGCATGGTACTGGCAAAGAAACAGACCTGAGGATCAGTGGAACAGATTGGAAGACACAAAAACAAATCCAGATGTACTCAGCTAGCTACCTCATCTTTGACAAAGGAGCTGACCATCCTCACTGGAGGAAGGATGGCCTCTTTAATAAATGGTGTTGGAAAAACTGGATCTCAACCTGCCAAAGATGAAAACTATACCCTTATCTCTCACCAAGCACTAAATTAAAATCCAAGTGGATTAAAGATCTAAATATTAAAACAGAAACACTAAACTTGCTGGAAGATAAGTTAGGCAGAACTCTTGAAGACACTGGCACAGGAAAAGATTTTATGAACAAATCCTCAGTAGCACGGGAACTAGCAGAAAGAATCAATAACTGGGATCTCATCTTATTAAAAAGCTTCTGCACTGTAAAAGAAACCATCAACAGAACTAAGAGACAGCCTACAATGTGGGAAAAAATTTTTACCAGCTGCTCCTCAGACAAAAGACCATTATCTAGAATATATAAAGAACTCAAAACAATTAGTCCTCCCAAATATAAAGATCCAATTCAAAAATGGGCATCTGAAATGAACAGACATTTCTCAGACAAAGAAGTAACAGCAGCAAGAAAATATATGAAAAAATGTTCCACATCACTGGTCATTAGAGAGATGCAGATGAAAACAACACTGAAATTCCACCTCACCCCACAAAGAATGGCTGCCATCAAGAAATCAACTAATAACAAATGTTGGCGGGGTTATGGGGAGAAAGGAACCCTTCTCCATTGTTGGTGGGAGTGCAGACTGGTGCAACCACTATGGAAATCAATATGGAGATACTTCAAAGAGCTGGGACTAGAGGTTCCATTTGACCCAGCCATCCCTCTGCTGGGTATCTTTCTAAAAGAATTAAAAGAATCATATCACAGTGACATATGCACACCCATGTTTATAGCAGCACAGTTTGTAATAGCTAAAACTTTGAAACAGCCCATTTCCCCATCAGTTGGAGATTGGATATAGAAGATGTGGTTTTTCTATACAATGGAATACTACTCAGCCATAAAGAATGAGAAATTAGATTCATTCATAGGAAAATGGATACATATTGAGGATATACTCCTAAGTGAAATAAGTAAGTCACACATGTGTAAATACCGAATAGTTTTTCTGTTGTGAATAAACTGTAATAGTACATAAGATCTTAATGAGATAACTGACATTGTGAAATGGGAAGAAAAGGGCTAAAGGTGTAGGGAAAGTGGGAAGGGTAGGGGAAAGGGAATAAAGGAAATGAAAAAAATATGAGAAAATGAAAAAATGGAAATAAAGTGTTTGTAAATGGGGAGGGGAGGAGGCAGTGAAGGGAGGACAGGGACAAGGGGAGAAAATGAGAATCAAGACCTATCATGTAAAGGTACAAGATCCCAATAATGAATGCAACTGTACTTATTGTATAACTAAATTGTATCAATAAACTCAATAAAAAAAGAGGCTCCAGTCACTGATCTCTTCTGGCAGTTTCCAGTAGCTGACCATGGTTATGGACCATTAGGAAAAACTATGGTAAAATCTACAAATGCTCAGCTAGAGTTTTAAATTTCTTAGTGAGATTTGTTCTTCAAATTGTCTCCTCTTACAGCTGAAACTAGAGAGACTTATGACAAGGTATCAGACTTATAGATGACCTTTATTAATGAAAGAATCTAAGAGCCAACAGGTTATAATCTCTTACTATTTCAGTACTTAAGTGTGACTTTCTCCTCACCTGTGCTCATGTTTAGATCTTTCATGCTTTAATTTCTTTAAAAATCTTGTTTATTCTTGCCTAGAGGCTGCCAAATTCAAAGCGATCATACAGATAATATCAACAACAAATGTGCTAGACATTTTTTTTTAACCAATATCCACCATCTTCTTTTTTTTTTTTTGGTACTGGGGTATTTTTAAACCAATATCCACCATCTTCTTTTTTTTTTTTGGTACTGGGGTTTGGACTCAGGAGCTTGTGCTTGCAAGGCAGGCAGTGGCGCCATTGAGCTAAATCCCTGGCAATATCCACCATCTTAATAAGCGTGCCCTTCCTGTACTCCCTTTTCTAATGAAGCTGAAGTTCTGGCAGGAATAGGCATAGGGGTCCCAGGAATCTCAACATCAATACATTTCTATTACTACCTATCCCAAGAACTAAATGAGTATATATAAAGGTAGCTGATTCACTGGCCACTCTGCAGTCTCAAATCAATTGGCTGGCAGGTATGATATTCCAGAATAGACAGGCCCTGAACATGATAACAGCAGAACAGGGGGAACATGCCTCCTATTAGGAGAAGAATGTTGGTACTTTGTAAACCAATCTGGTATTGTTGGAATCAAGATAACGGAAGTCAGAGTTTTCTATGCAGAAAAAATGTAGGCAAGACTTAGACGTGACTACATTCTCTTTCAGGATATTCTGACCAATGGCTTTCACGGCTTCTTCCTTTCCTGGGTCCCCTCACTAGTCTCTGTATAATCCTACTTTTCTGACCTTGTCTGTTCTGTTTTTTTCAAAATTTCTTGCAGGAGACTCTGTGGGCCTTTACCAACCAGAAAGAATGTGAACTCATCATGGTTGGTTACCAGCCCCTTGTCACAGAGCACCACACCACTGTCACATAAAACCCTATCTGTCACCCCAGACCCCTATCAATGCCCCCTTGACAGCAAGAAGCAGACACAGAAAAAGAGACCTTCGCCCCTATTCCATAATAACAAGAATCTGTAATAATAAGAGTTCCTTGCTAGATAAAATGGCTCTGCCAGCCCCATATCCTAAATGGCTCCTCCCTGAAGAAAATAAGTCACTCCAAGACAAAGTGCAACCTAACTTTCCCACCACAGAGCTCTCCTGCTTATAGTCCTACCCAGCTCTAAGTTCAAACCTGCCAATCAGTTCCACTCTTGTCACTAGCATCAACCTATCACTGGCTTACACACGATGCTCTCCCAACCCCTTATAAACCTCACCCTAACCAGGTTCGCTCTCTCTTGCCATTGTTCAGGGTAACCCAGCAGTATCATCTCAGATAAGTGGTTCTATATTCAGAGCAACAAGTGAAGGGAACTTGTGAATACAAAGATAAAAACGAAAATAGGAAAATGAAAGTTCCTTATATCCCAGCATAATAGCCAAGATGACTTTTAGAGGGCTTTATTAAGGTAAAAGAAGAAATAAAGTCCTTACTGTTTTATGATATAACATGAAATGAGAATAATAAGACAGTTCAGAAATTCAAAAATAATAACACTCATAACCTTTAGAATCTTCATAGAGGGAAAAGGAGTTCAGCCACATCATACAAGGCTATGATGTTAGCAGGATTGGAGGTCTGCCTCTTTTCCCCATGCATTCAGTATTATACATAATGAAGATCAAAAGACGAGAGATTAGAATACTTGGTGAACTTTAGTAGCCTGAGCAATTGTGCTTTATTTGCAATGACTATAAATTGGGAAAGACACCCCCTTACTATTTGAGTGGCTGCTAAGTGGTTTGGGCAGGTGTCCTGGAAGACTGCTCCCCACAGCACATTACCTTTGGGCACCTTGGCTCTCCATCTCTCCCGATTGATGTGCACCACTTCTGTCCAGGTGGCTTTAAAGCCCTTATAGTCAATAGGGATGACAGAATTATTGATGGGGGCACTTCCTTCTGACCCAGAGCTCTTGACACCCGATCGCTTTGCATCTGATGAACTGATGTTGTTCAAACTAAAGAACACACAAAAAAATCATACAAAAGAGGAGCATTAGTGTTTAAAACTGTATGCAATGCACAAGCCCAAGAGAAAAGTGAGTGTTACTCATTGAGGCACTGTCATGAAATTTCTGGATCTGTAACAGGTGAGAAACTGCAAATTTTCAACAGGAAAAATATCAACCCCTCACCCTCCGAGCTTTGATATTTCTCATTGTCTTCTGTTGTTTGATCTCTTTTTTTCCCCAATAATCAAAATTCCCTTCATGAAATTTCTCTCTTCACTGAAACAGATGAATTTGAACTTAAACTTCTACTTGTTCCAACAGCTCATCCATATGCTTCTACAATGACCACTTTTTCAAGTTACCCAGTAATTTGGTCCTTTTTCTCCCCAGCTCAACCCTTCTTCTGGACTTAAGATCATTTTGATCCTGGTTCCCTAAATAAGAGAGAAGGGATAATATCCTTATGTTGGTTGGAGAAAGTGAAGACGAACAGAGAGCTTAGAGATTTTGTACCTGATCACACTAAGAACCTTACTTTAAATGAACAGTACTTTACCTTTCAAAAGTGGGTGTGACTTTACAAAGTACAAGGTACTTTCCTTCTAACAAAGTATCTCATGGCCTAAGGGTTGACTGACTTGAACACAAACCACTGAATGACAATGGAGGCGGACTGGACAAGTGGGGTTTCAGCCAGGCCTTAAAGAGCCACTGGGACTATGAGGCCTGGGACAGGGGCTTCTATCCTTTTTGCTAGTAACTTTAATGGGGTTTTATCCATCCTGAGCATCTCTGGGGTCCCAGTGTCTTAATCGTCCCTGAGCATCCCCTCTCCCATTTACTTTCTCTGTTCTTTTCTTTTTCCAATTCATTCTATGTTCTTTCTCCTTTATGAGGAAGCCTAAGTTTGGGATGGAGGAGGAGAGGCCTCAATCCTAGTAGTTGGTAGAAATAGTAGGAGTCACAGTAATAGTGGCCACAGCAGCAATAGTGGCGTTAGTAGGGTGGTAGCACAGGGGTGGCAGTAATAGTAGATGGAGCAGGAGCAGTAGCATTGTCAATAAAGACTAAATGGGAGATTTACTGTGGCTAGCACTTCCTCTGTATTAGAACCTACATGCGCACACACATTTGATCTTTCCAGCAAACTATAAGAATTATTATAATCCACATTTTCTCTGATGAGGAAATTAAGGTGACTGAAAACATTCAGGTTTTTATTTTTCTACTTCATTCTCTTCCTAAATTAAGAAATGAAAGTCAGTTTTATTTCTCGTAATTGAGAGGTGTTATGAACATGAAGCAATTTTCTAAATGTAATTACTACATACTGCAAACATATACTAATATTTTAAAAGGAAACAAAGAATAAATACTCCAAAAACCACTGATGGAAGATGGAAAGGACATTAATTAGCTTTCTGTAACTGACAAAATATATAACAATAACAACTTAAAAATATATCTCTAGTCAGTGTTACTGTCTTTTGGTGCCATCTGGGACCAGTGGGTAAAAGTACAGTGATTGGTGTTGCTGTTGGAAAAAGCTAAGAGGGAGCAGGCAATCAGGACCTGCCTGTCATAATTTGGAACTTGGTTACCCCTTACAGGGCAGCCGGAGAGTACAGACACTACAATTTTAATTCCTCTGAGAAAAAGAAAGAGGCAGAAAAAGTCCTTCTGAGAAGAAAGTAATACAGACATCATTATGAAATCCCACCACCATTCCCAGGAGAACTCTACCCTCATGTACAGGCTGGACCTGAGAACCCAAACTTCTTTACTGACCTAGATCGTCTCTGTCCTGTCCCACCAGTCTGGGAGGGTTCATCGATTAAGGGACTCACGATCTTTTCAGTCATATCTGTGAGCACAGTGAAGGTGGGTTCCACAATGAAATCAATGAAACCTGTGGAGAAACAGCAGTGCCTTAGAGGAGGAGCTCCAGGGTAAATGGGGCTTTTCTGTATTTTCCAGTACAAACTGATAAGTCTTTCTGGTCTTAAAAACAAATTCATCTGCAAAGGAGCTCAAGAAGTGTTTAAGAGTCCATCAGTCTTATCCATTTCATAAATTCTTTGAATGTGATGAGTCAGTTCCATTGTTTATACCTCATTTTCTTATGACTTTTTAACACAAAATTCAATTAATTGCTTTAAAAAATATATATAACACCTGCTATGTAACAAGCATTATGGTAGGAATTGTGTAAAAGACTAAGATCAATAACAAAACTTGCTTGCCCTTGATGAATTTATAGGAGATTAAATAAGCACAAGAGTGACCCACTAGAACACATGGAGGGTGAAAGGAGAAGCCCAGATGCAGGGTCCTGGGAAGGGAGAGGGGACATTTCCCTTTCTCAGAAAGGCCTGGGAACAGCTTCATGGAGGTTGTGATGTTTGAGCTGAGCCATTCCTCCAGGAAGATGTGACCATAATTCTGGGTGCAGAGAGATGGAATAAGTGAGATAGTAGATGTGAGAAACAGTGAAGGAGATGTAAGACAGATGACTGGAGGTTAGGGACTCTCAGAATTAGGGAGAAAAAGCTTTGGAAGGAAAGTCATCAACAGCTCGGGGACAGAGAGTCTTTGGGGTTGGGACCTGAGGGACACTATAGGCCTTTGAAGATGTCTGGGCATCAAAACACTAAGATCTTTTCAGATGTTCCTTAGAAAAGTCAATGGAGCAGGATGAATGAGAAAGGAATGAACATGAGAGACAGGATGGGAAATCATGATAGAAGCTTCTACAACAGCTCAAACAGAAGGTAAAGAAGGTAGGAACCACAGCCACTGTACGGTAGAAATGAAGGAGATGGGACCACTTCTGTGGAGATTCATCCAAGATGCTCCAGCAACAAAGCAGGGACTACCAGGAGCTGGGAGGAGAAAGATGATGGGTTTCCATCTGGTGACTGAGGTACAAGGGCACATTGGATAAAGGAAGACAAATAGAATTGAAAGAAAAGGGCTGGAACCTGGGACAGTGGTCATAACTAGAGTGAGGGTCCTAACTGGAGAGTCTGAGCTACACCTCAGTTCTGATTGAGCATCTCTGCCCTGCAGTCCTGCAGGAAGCATCCAACTGTTCTCCTTATCTCTAGTCTCACTGAAAACCCTCCACAAAATCCTCCAGGCTACTGCACGAGAAATGTTTATAAAATAAGGAAGGGTCAGCAAACTTTTTCTGCAAAAGATAGAATGTTATTTAGTCTTTGAAGGCTATACCATTTGTATCAAAACCAGTCAACTCTGCTACCTCTAGTACCAAAGCAGCCACTGACAGTAAATGAATGGGCCCAACTGTGCTGTATAAAAACTTTATTTGTAAGAACACGTAGTGACAAGTGATATATGCATAGCCATGTTTATACTGGCACAGTTTGAAATAGATAAATCTTAGAAACAGCCCAAATACCCATCAACTGACAAATGGATAAAGAGAATGTGTTTTTTTATACAATGGAGTACTATTCTGTCATAAAGAAGGTTAAGCTGGAGACATTCATAGCTAAATGGCTGTACCCTGAGACCATATTCTTAAGCAAAATAAATAGGACAGGCATGTTTAAATACTGCATTGCTTCTCTGGTGTGAGAAGCCGAAAGTGGAAATAAGGCCTAAAATGTAGGATACTGGAAAATGGGAAGAAAACATTCAAATGGGAAGGGGAACAAAGGTGGGGGAAAGAGAAAGGAAGGAAGGGACAAAAATGTGAAAACAGAAGGAAAAAGGGAAATAAAGCTTTTGTGTATAAAGAGGGCAGGGGTGCTTGAGGGAAGAAGGGAATGGAAAAAAGAGACAGGAGGTATTGTGCACAGGTGCAAATTCCCTATGATGAGTTTTACCATTATGTATGGCTACAATGTACCAATAAATGTTTTGGTATTAAAGAAAAAAAAAAAGAACAGGTGGTGAGTCAGATTTAGCCCACAGGCTAAAACATGAACTTGTACATTTTAAACTTTACATACAATTTTCTAGATATGACCTTATTTCTCATAGGAAAGTATATGAATGTGCTATTATTAGCATAATATAAAATCTGGACTCCATCTTCTTTCCAGACACGTCCTTTCCTGCATCCACTCCCTGTCCACGGCCCCTATGCCATATGGCACTATTAAGAATTCACTGGCTGTGCAAGAAAGGTTTTAATTCCTCCACTTTGTAAATGCCATATACCTGATCTGGAATGCCCTCCTACTCAGCCCTAATTCAAGTGTAACATGTATCACTATTTCTCCAAAACAGTGACTGATTTCCTCCTAGGATGCAACTCAAATCTTATCCTCAATAAGATTTTGTGGACCACCCGGGACTAATGGATCACACATTCTGTTCTGTATTCTACTGTGTTATCTTCCAAGTTTTAATTTAACACAGATTTTTGTTTTCCTAACATCTTGCCTACCCATACCAGTTTAATGTCTTTGAAAGCAGATACCATTTAAATTTGCATCTGTCTTTAACATCTATTTAAATGCCTACCAGCACCCAATATTTAAAAAGGACTCAACAAATATTATAAAGAAACATCAGGCCAGGGATTTAGCTCAGTGATTCCGCCACCTGTGTCCCAAGCGCAAGGACACAAGTTCAATCCCCAGTATCAAAAAGAAAAGAAAAAGAAAGAAAGAAAGAAAATGACTCCAAACAAAAACAAAATAATCAATAAATATTTTTTAAATTTATTTTTTAATGATTTCAGGCTCTTCAAAGTTGTATGTTTGGCAATGGTACCTACTCCCATACCTGAGGGTTTTTTAATGCTAAATATTGGTGTTTAGCAGAAAAAAAATTATGCTTACAAAGTGTTTATAAAAAGGGAGAAAATGAGGAAGAGAAGAGGAAAGAAGGAAAGAAATCAGGAAGAAAACATTTTACAAGAGCCACTCTTGAAAGTAGGACCCTCCAGAAAATGGGATCCCCTGAACGGTTCTAGAAAAAATGACAATGATGAGAAATACCATAGCACTTCTCAGTATGACATTCAAAAGGAAGAGCCCGAAGCAGAAGGTGCCTCCTGACAGTGATACCTGTCATCTCCATGTAAAGGTGAAGCCTCTTTAACTCTTTCCAGGAAAAGACAGAGAAACCAGAAGGTCCCCAGGAACCAGCTAATTCTAAGGCTAAGAATGATGTGTCTCCATCACCCTAAAGCTAAAACCATAAGCACATCATGGTAGGTGGAGCTAGTGATTCTGGCCCCAGCCATAGAATTCCTGGGAGCATATGAACTTCCTTTCATCTGGTAATTTGTTCTATTCAGTGGTCGGCAAACACGTACCTACTTGCGACTGAGCAACCATGGTGGACTTTCTGTCACACAGAGGAGAAAAAGGCAGCCCCAGCTCCGCTTCTCTATCACCCTGGAAAAACAGAAGGTCACAGTAAATTAAAAACAGCAGGCTGAGCCACCCAGATTTTATTTAGCAACTTCAGCTGCCAGTAAGGCCGCTGGTCTTTATTTTAATTATTACAATTACATTATGTAATATGTCCTTATGGCACTGACTCCTCTGTATAAAAGATTCCAAGTGGCTGAACCCTCTGGAGGACAAGCATTTCATCCAACTGCAAGGGCTCATGCTGTTGTGAACAAAGCCTCATTGGGCAGGAATGGGGTCCCTATGGAAAAGGAGGCAACAGGCCATGTGTTCTATGGTTTGCAGCCAACACTGTAATCAGAATTGCTGCATGTTTTCAAGCTTTCCTGTGTCTATCTGTGACATTTCTGAGGTCACTGAACCTTTCCCAGCTGTGGGCAATATCCAAATCTCAAATTCAAACTAGATTGATTTGGTTTTGTGTCCTAAAGCTTTCTGAAGACACATACGACTGCAGTAAGAGCCTCAGTGTTCTTAGCCCCAGGACTCAGTCTACAGTAGAAAGTGGACTAGAAAGAAAAAAGAGAAAAGCTGGGCAGGATGGCACATGACTGTAATCCCAGCACTCTGAAAGCTGAGGCAGCACGATCACAAGTTGGAGGCCAGCCTGGGAAATTCAGAGACTTGGTGAAACCCTATCTCAGAATAAAGAATAAAAAATAAAGTCTGGGGATATGGCTCAGTGTAAAATCCTGAGTTCAATCTCCAGGTTAAAAAAAATTTAAGAAGAAATTAGATAGTAATAAATAAAATAATATATCCTGACCAATATATTCTTGGTCCCACCAAAAGCATCAGGGTAATAAATACAATAAATAAGAAGTAGGGAAAGTCTAACTGTTCATGGAGATATTAATTACCTAATTCATTCGTTCATTTATTTATATTTTGAAGTACTAGAAAGTGAACCCAGGGGCTGCATTTCTAGCCCCTTTTATTTATTTTTAAATTATTTTCAATGTTTGTTTTTTATAAGACATGTTTGCAGTACATAATGTTTACATTCCTGGTGGGGAATCAGTATATATACATAGTATACTTTAATTCTTTTTACACCAGTTCCCTCCCCTTCTTCACCCCTCTCTCCACCTTTTGGTCTCCTTCCCATTTGCAAAAGATCTATTTCCCTATTTCCTATTATTTTTTATTATACATTTTATTTATAGTGTGGGTTTCTCGAATAAAAGAAACCATGCAATATTTAAGCTTGCACATCTGATTTATTTCATTTAACATTATTTTTGAGACAAAGTTTTCATTAAGTTGTCCAATGGGGACTTAAGCTTGGAAATCTCCCTAGGTGCCAGGATTAAGTGTGTGCATAACCAAGCCTGGTGATGAAGATGATTTTTACAAAGATGAACCAGAAGCTCAGTACTTCAGCCACATCTGGAGGACAGCAGAAAGTAAGTGACTCTTCTCCCAGCAGTGAGGTTGTGCTTTCCTTTTACTAGGAAAGAACCTGCTCAGCACAATAACTGAGATCTGTGCTTGAGTACTGTTTTTCTCCTGCCTGATGTGTGATCCCAGAAAGGTCACTGTCCCTAAATCTCTATTTTATCATCTCTTAAATATGAAATCATAACCCCTACAAAATATGGTGATGATGAAGATGAAATGAGAAAAGTTTGTGTAAGTAATTAAAAAAAAGAATTATCACTGTTTCCAAATAGGAAACTATATTTAAAGTCAGATTTGAAAAATACTCAGTGATTCTGTTCCATTTAATACACTCAACTACAATAAATATTGCCACTAAATGAGTAGTAAATGAAAGATTATAACAAGCTGCCATCAGACCTAGCGAAAAAATGGAAGGTTGCTTCTTTTTAAGGCATGGTACCAAGAACGAAGAGCGTTGCCTCACACTCCACTGAAAGGACGGAAAAGGAGGGGCATCAAAGGAAACTCAACAGCAGGTCAGGTGGGAGATGGAGACGACCAAGGGCCTTGGGAACAATCCTCAAGTGGCTTGTTCCTTCTGCACCCTTTACTTGTATGTAAACACCCACACCATGGAACACAGAGCTCCTCTGGTCCCAAGGATGTGCTGCTGAGAAGCACTCTTTTTTAAGTGGCGTGAGAAAAATGATTTGCTCTTGGGCTATTTCCAACTGGGCAGTAGGAAGAAAGGGAGAATATTTTTGACATAAATTCTAGTGTTACAGATAATTTAGTGGGATAGATCAGCTACAACAATAAAAACCTCATTTTCTACATGACAGGGACACAAATTGCTTTGCTGGTACCTTTTAATGGGGCAGGTGGAGACGGGGAGGTACTTAACTATTAAGGTTTAAGCATTAGTTTGGACCTCATTACTGAAAGGTTGCATGGTATTAAACAATTTCTAAATTCACAAATTTGCACATACCCTAAGCTATAAATCTGTATTTAATTGAGCTGAGTAGACTCAACTATTAAAACCCCATTTTAAAACAGCCATCATTGAATTCCCTTTGGAATATAGATACATTTATGAGTTGAAAAAATATGCTCTAAGTTATTTGGCGGAATGGACATCTGCTGGTGAATCTAATGTGGCAGATCACACGATATATATTAAGGCTTCACAGCTACTGGCCCTTGTGGAATTACTCAGACACATTGCTCTTTATTGAAGAAATCAACATTTTCAAAAAGCTTTGGCTGTCACAAATCATTTTTTTTCTTGCAGGACAGTTCAGAAAAATATCATTCCTTGGTGGGTACTAAGACAGACGACTAAGTCAAATAGTGCGGATGAAGAAGGCAGATAATGAATATTTGTCGAGTCAGTGAAAAGACTAATTTGTTTAGAAACATGTTCCTTTGGCTATTCTGGCATTTATGACAGACAAGTTAGAGAGGAACTGGGCAGGGAGCTGCTAAATGAACTCCGATCCTTCTCCTTCACCTCTGATTCGCACAGCAGGTCTACACTGCCCAATTTTCTTCTAGTTAGCACTACATAATAAGAGAACAAGAGAAGGAGACTGCCTTTTTAACCCCAGTTTACACAGGTATCAAATCTCCTGTACCTCCTACTTTTCTATGCCCTTTCCCCCTGTGCTTCCTTCACCTAGTCAAGCACTTTTGGAAGCCTTATAAGCAGACATCTCTGCTTATCAAAGGACTACCCAAGAGTCAAGAGACACTTGTTCTGTGGTTTATGTAAGTGGGCGATAACTGGCATTCATGTGTACTGTTATACGTTTTGAAGTTTGTTACTGTGGCAATATGTAAGCAAAAAACACTTCAAAAGAAGCAAGTCCCTCCTGAACTGGAACTTCACAGGGAAAATAACATCTATCAATCTGAAATCATCAAAAGGCATGCAAGTGATATTTCAAGTGAGCCCTTTTAGATGGAATGAAAGAAAGTAATGTTAGGAGTCAACAAAAGAATCAAGCTGAACAAAATGCAGCAATATAATCTCCTTCCCCAGGGGAAGAAAGCCCAAATATAAGGTATGAGAAGAGCTTTGTGAATTTGATACAAGATGAGAGTGGGTTTTAACACTACTTCTCAGAAGCTATAACCTCAAAAACAAGGAGAATGAATGAGAAACAGAAATGCAAGCACAGACATAAACACAAGGAAAAATGTATAATCTAAATGGGAACTGTAAGAGCTGTCAAACCTGTGAGTATCAGAGAGGGAGACAGAAAGATGCCGAGAGGCTGGGTACAGAGTAGAGACTGAATTATGATCAACAGCGCAACTGCTACCCACTATTATTTTTGGAAAAAGTAAATGCTAAGACATACACAAACACACAATCACTTCTGAGAAGCCACATAAAACATCAAGGATAGACACATTAGAGTTCTACTGCTCTGATGTCTCCCTGGTACAAATCCTCTGTAAACAACTGATTCGAGGGCTGGGCATTTAGCTCGCAGCACAGCATCTGCCTGGCAAGCGCGAGGTCCTGAGTTCAATTGCTGGTACAAGAAAAAAAAAATAAGTTGATTAGACAAGAACATATTTAACTCAAAAGATAGTTGATAGTTAATAAAATAAAAAGGAAACAGGGATTGGAGAAGGGAAGGAATAGGATAAAGAGAAGAGGGAAAAGGAAAAGAAGAGAGGTAAAACCTGAGGATGACAAGGAAAAGAAAAGATGAAAAAGATGAGAGATAAAAGAGGAGGAGAAAGAGGTACCAGCAGCCAACAAAAGCAAAACCAGAAACAAAACCAAAAAAGTGAAACAAAAAATGTAAAAAGATATCTCAAAGGGGGGAAAAAAGCTTAGGAGTATAACTCAGTGATTGAGCACTTTTTTAGCATGTGCAAGGCTCTGGTCCAATCCCCAGCAGGAGAGAAAACAAGAAGGAAGAAAGAAAGGGAGGGAGAGAATTAGAGAGAGGGAGGAATACAAGGGCAGAAGCGAGTGTGTGTGTGTAAGGAATATCAGAAAAATGGTGCCACCGAGTAATGACCAAACTTATTTGTATGAACAGAAAGACATTCCTTAAATTATCCACAACAAACTCAGAATAGCAAGAGCTAATAGAGCAAGGAAAGTTATAGAAAATATAGATAGTATGGCATTAATGAAGACTGCAATGGAAGTAGCACAAAGAGCTGTTCTGATGAAAATGCATGAGAGACACAGAGGCAGGAACAGAAAATCAGACCACCTAATGGGCAAGAAAATTGTAAGAGAAACAAAAGGCAACTTATGAATAGTTATTTGCCTTAGTAAGAGAACACAACAAGTAGAAAATGAAGACACTAAATGATACAATCAATGTAAGTAGAATCTGTAGAGGAAAAGAATATACCATGTCCCAAGAAAAGCTTATACAGGATAGTAACCAATGTCACTGAGCTTCTGAAAAAAAGAAACCATTCTCATTATATATGTTGAAATTTGCATAACAAAAATTATTTTAAAAAAGAAATAATCCTTAGGGCACATAAGTGAAAAGATCATCATCTATACATGGAAATAATTTCTTCATGGTTCAATCTCTTCATAGCAGCATTCAAGTATG